AAGAACAACAAGGCTGGTGAAGGGACTCGAGCACAGATCCTATGAGGAGAGGCTGAGGGAGCTGGAGTTGTTTAGCCTGGAGAAGAGGAGGCTCAGGGGAGACGTCAACTCTCTACAACTACCTGAAAGAAGGTTGTAGCCAGGTGAGTGTCAGTCTCTTCTCCCAGGCAACTATCAGTAAGACAAGAGGGCATGGTCTTAAGCTCTGTCAGGGGAAGTTTAGGTTGGATATTAGGGTGAAATTTTTTACAGAAAGAGTAATCAGACATTGGAATGGGCTGCCCAGGGAGGTGGTGGATTCTCCGTCCCTGGAGGTTTTTAAGATGAGACTGAATGTGGCACTTAGTGCCATAGTCTAGTAACCACGGTGGTGTTGCATCAAGGATTGGACTTGACAATCTCAGAGGTCTTTTCCAGCCTAGTTGATTCTGTGGTTCTATGATTCTATGATTTGTTGAAAACATATTTTCAGTGACAGGAAGCCAATTCAGTTGTCTAGCTTTTGTAGAAAGGCTTTCAGTGCATGATTATTTAAAGTTCTGCTTATAGCTGTGGTGGGCTATGCTTGAGCACTGTGCAAATAATCAGTTTAAAGATAAACCTCAGAATTCTTGTTACCTGATTCTCACCCCACTGGAATGCAGCACTAGTCCATTTATCACCGTAGAATGCAACAACTGGTGAAAACCCTTCATAAATTCACTTTACTTTCAAATATAAGAATGTTCAAATTATTTCCCACTCAGAGCAGGGATCAGCTGCTTGTGATCAGGCCTCTTTGATCATTTCATCTGACTACCAATCAGTTTATAAACTAGTGCATATGAGCTGACAGCCTTGCAATTTTGTCTCAGTAATGAAAATTCTCCTTTTATCTCTGTGAGCATCTAGTTCTGGATTATTCAAGGGAATTATGGTGATGGTAGTTGAAGACCTAACAGCCTGCAGGCAAGGGACAGTTGCAGCTGGCTTTAGCTTTTGTACTCCATGTGTTTCAGAAGTAGTGAACAACATAAAATTCCATTACTTGAAATCAAATGTCCATTTAACAAAGTCACACCAAAGGGAAAGTTATCACACTGTTCATTCCAAAGAGGCATCCATGTGTTTCACCTTTAAGGTGAATTTTTTTCTGTTATTTCCCAAGTTCCCATTAATTTCCCAACAAGGAAAGCATATTAAGGGACGATTACACAATGCTTGGTGAAACTCCCTTTATTTATTTCACTTGTGTTGTTGCTGCTGTTGTATAAGAAAGAGCAAAATAACAAAAAGAACAAAGTAAAATAAAATAATAGCTGATCCAAACATTTTCAACATGTTGAAATCCCATTCCAAATGCAAAGACTCTTTCTTTCTGCCTTTTCTTTGCATTGATTTGCACAAGCATTTTCTCTGTGAGCCAAATACATCTCTGGTATAACTTCACTGAAGTCACTGGACTTACACCAGAGGTGGTTTTTGGTCCTCTGTCCTGGGTAAATACAGTAGGAATAAATTGGTCACACAGGCAGAGTGTCTGGCAATAAGTGCACTGAGTGGTCCTGGCAAACCAATAGGAAAGATCTAAAACAAGAAGCCCAAATAGGTCTTTTACTTAACAGAGGGCCTAAAAATCTACTGGGAGCTGCTGAATACTGCCCACTAACTGTACAAAGTATAGGTAGCATGCCTTCCAAATATCAAAATACCAGACGGAATGCCGTGAAAATAAATAACTTCTAATATAAACAAATGAGAACATATCAAACTGTTACCTCTTTAAACATAATGTAAATAAAAAAAATACCAGTCCTTCTACACAATAAATATTAAGAAACCATTGACATAGTTGAAATGTACTCATATAAATTAACAACTTTAATTACATTAGCTGAACAGACATTGGTTAAAGCACTGCATGTAGTATGCAAAATAATAATAATAACAATAATAATAATATCAACAACAAAACACAAAATGATAAAAACAAAATAGGCTTCATAATATCTTGGCTTTCATAATTTATATATATGTATATACATATATATAGTTGTGTGTATATATATACTGTAGATATATATATAATATGTATGTATACATACGTATATATATATCTTCAACCCATTGTCAATGTGTTGTTTTTGAAAGTATTTAAATACAAAGAAACCCATTGAGAATTAACACAGATTCACTATATCTCAAAAAATAAATAGCTATGTAACCCAGAAGTGCTGCTTGTTTCTGCCCATGAAAACCTTGCTTATAGTTGTTCACAAAAGGTCAGATTATGACTTTATTTACTCATACTGAAAACTTTTTACTCCACGACTAGTGTAGTGAGAGCAGATGGGGAGTAAAGCTTTTTTCAGTGTAAGGAAAGTGATTAGCATCTGATTCTTTTACTGATGCACGGTATTGACATGAGGTTTAACTTTAAGAACTCAACCATTTCCATCACATCTACCTATGCCTCAGAAATAGATTTTGCTCCATTTTTTGATGCTGACTGGTAACTTTCTAGGAAAGGAGAACCTCTGAAAATCAATGGCATTGCTTACAGAGTAAGGCACAATTCCACATGAATAATAGTCCATAAAAAATTTAATCTTGCACATCGACTTTACAGATGCCTGAACTTCTCTACCTTAAGAGGTATTGCTGCTAGCTTCCATATGATCTTGTGGCATCACAGTTAAATGAACTTGATGGCTTAAATCTCAACAAAATACAAAAAGAAGGAGGTATATATAATGGAGTCCTACTTTGCAGTGATTTGGTAAGAGGCTGTTTCTATTGAAGTCAATGACAAAACTCCCATTTCATTCAGTTCTAGAGTTTTGGGCCCTAGATCAGTATTCTGCTGTGAGATAAGAGTGCACAATAATTATAAGCATTTTTAAGCATTTTCTTTTGCTAAATCTGAAGAATACAAATACATTCAGCCCTCCCAAAGAAACATCTTAACATGCACTTCTGCAAGTTTTGTAGGCTTTGTGTCCAGTGAGCATCTGACTTGGAGATGGGGAAAATCAACCAACTGTAGTCAACAGTGAAGCAAGAAGATTGTGGATGTACTAAACAAATATATTTCTGTATTTAAGCATATACTGAAAATGTATTTTCAATACAAACAGAAAATGGGTTATATGGAAATGAATGTGCTAGTAGTTAAGGGCTTCTCTTTTTTTTTGGTACAGTCGTACCTGGAAGGAGAAGTAATTTTTGAGGCTATGTGCCATAGGACAACTGATTAAATATGGTATTTCTAATGCTATTATAAGTAAGTACATGCAGATTTAATTAAATCAGATTATCAGGGATGGGGTGTTTTGCTGGGATCAGTCAGTCTTGATTAAAATCTCAATTTCTTATTTTACTTTATCATAGATTTTTTCATTTCCCTCAACTTTAAATAACTCTGACCACAAATCAAAACCCCATGACTGAATCTAGAGACTGGAGGGAGAAATCTTTAAAATTTGTGACCAATATACACATACAAATGAAAGCTAAAAAGGAGGGCTTAGGAACAGTTACTTCTTGATTTAAAAACCTTTTTCTGTTTTCGATGTATCTATCATGAAACATGCTCACAACGTCTAAAATCTTATTTTCTTTCCTCACTTGGACGTTGTCTCAGGCTAGTTTCATGTTTTCCAGGGCCAGTCAACATTCATCACATAAAAGCTGGTATCAAACTCAGAATCAGACCTCTTTTAAAAGGATATTTCTCCTTTGGCCAGGAAAACCATGGGCCTAAACCTACTATGCTTGCAGTCAATGAGAGTTTTGCCATTCTCATCTAGGGGAAGGTTCTGGGATTTCAAGTCTCTGATACTCTCTAAATAATCACTGTAGAGAATAATTTTTATCAACGTGAGCCATCTCACCTGCTTCCCCTGGCCACTATGTTCAGAGATGAAGCATGATGCAAGCAGCCTGGTTTAAATAATTGAATTAAACAATGTTGACTGTGGTGCCATTCATTCAAAATCCTTTCTCTCCCTTCACAATGCCCACAGCAAAAGGAACCTGTGATTCACCCTCGCATACCTTTACTCATGTAAGTAGTGTTACTGCTCTTGCACAGAGACTAGTAGACATCAAAGAGCCTGCTGACATGAGTAATGGTTCTGGGACATCCAATTATATGAATAAGGGTTCTGGAGCACCCAATTTTAAGACAAAGTCCAAAGTCTAGTGAACTAAAAGGAGCTCTCCTTAACAACTCTCACAGACTGTGTCCCTGCTCCTGCTGTTTCAAAGCCTGGCTCTACTTTTGGAAAAATCAACTGAAATTCTGCTACTTGCTTTAAATAAGTGGGGTCAGGAACTTGGTTTAAGTTATAAAGATAAATTAGTTGTGCATCTTTGTTGTTTGTTTTTTTATTTTATTTTATTTTAAATAATTTCCCTACTAGCATTTGGTATCCCTCCCTTTCCCCAGGAAGAAAACACAAAAAACCTAACGAACTTCTGCAAATAATTTAAATCAGAAAGCCTTGATATCTTACAGAATACTTTAGTAACAAATTTAGAGTTTAACCAATTGTTATATTTTTAATTTTTTTTTTTTGCAAATTGCAAACAAGTCTGTAAAAAATGCATTGTATAAAAAGTACATAAATGTATAACCCATTAGCTGTACTATGCAATCTAAATATTGTGGAATAAATTAGATAGAAAACTTAGCTATAAGCACGTATGTTGATAGCTATTCAACAGAGGAAAGGGCTTTTTTTAAATTTTTCTTTCTTTTTTTTCTTTTTTTTTATTCTCTATTAATACATACAAATATGGACATATGCCCATGTGCACATACATAAGCACACACACAGAACACGCACGCACACATGCACACACAAACAGTTTTGGCTGACAAAAATGAAGGCCCTGATTACACTGTTTAAAAATGGTTCTTGCAATGAAGGTGCTAACACACTATCCCTAGCCAATGTGACTGGGTTATATTGTGCTATCTTTTTTCTTCTTTGTTTTTTTTTCTTTTTTTCTTTTTCTTTTTTTTTTTTTTAACAGATTGTGCTCTTAACAAGTTGGGGAGCCACGTTAGTGCTTCTTTCCGTGAGAGGTATTTTGAAGCCTGTCCCGTCAGAAGGCAGCTAACAGGGTCTTGGTTCAGCAAACTTATGAGAGTCTGAAGCTTCAGGCTCAGGGTTATCAAACTCAGTGTAAACAGGGCCTAAAGATTTCTCCCATTCCCTCTTATCATCTCCCCCTACCCAAAGACAAATGTTGTAAGGTTAACATTCTTTTAAATATGACAGCGAAAAATTTAAAAAAACAACAACTATCTACCTATGCCCTACGGGTTGGACCCTTCAGGTTAGGTGTTGACACTGAAAATTAGGTTTTACAGGTGATGCGCAAACCCATTAAGAGTTGTCATGCTAGAGGGTGGTGGTTGAGACACCAATCTTTTGGCAAAGACTGCATTTCAAACAGAAATCCTAACACAACTGCCTTTTTCTGTATATTTGCAGGGGCAATGGTGGAAAGGGCCCAAAGTTGCTTGCAACTTTACATTGACACTTTCTAAGTGTATACCAGTACTTTAGGTTTCTCTCGCACAAGTATCAATTTTGAACATGTAGCCTCCCGCTTGGCAGTAAGAAACAAACAATCTTATAACATACTGTGCTTTGCACACAAACATTCATTGTTTTAAGAGCAGTAAAATGAAGCCAGAAGTGCTTATACCTTGTGTATACATACATATGTACATACAGAAATATCTATCTCTATATATATGTATATCCCTTGGACAAAGGTGTTTCCCAATAATACACAGTTGCTGTGCATCTGGGCCAAGTTTAGTGTTGTACGTACAAAAGAGTACAGTTATGCTTAGATGTACCTCAGATCCGAGCACATTGGATCCAAATCCCAGGGATTTTCTGGGCTTACTTTACATGGCAATTTTCTGCTGAGGGCACTATTTGAATTTAACTGGTTAACAGAGATTCTAGCCTGAATGTAATCAACCCACTGACCCCTAATTCAAACCCTAACTTACTACAGGTGAATGGTACCAACCACAAACAGACTTTTTAGAGGCTCGCACAAATGTCTTTGGTGTATGTGTCTATTCATTTTAAGGTACAAAATAATAATAATTATTATAATAATAAAAATAGCTATTTTGTGTGCTGTAGCAGTTCTTGTATAGCTCACAATAAGTGCAGCTCTCAACCCCTCCCACACCCAACCACCCTCCCTTGCAAATATTTGTTAAATAAGGATTAGACAGGTCAGACACCATTGTAGTGCAAATAGTAAACGATTAAAAATTTTTTTTACAAAATATAGAAATGTTTGACTCCAGTAACTGGACAAACATGTTCCTTTCAAGTATCTCTCACCAAAGAATTTTTTTTTAAACAAGTTACTTCCATTTAAAAAAAGTCTCTCTGATTTTTTTTTTCTTTCTCTTGCAGGTAAACAGTTTCAAACCAACTAGGTTGCATAGTTCTAACATTGTAAGCACCTTTACAGAATGTAACTTTTATTCTTTCATTCATTTTTTATTCTGTTTTTTTCTTCATTTTTCTTTTTTCCTTTTTCCTTTTTTTTTGTAGATGTAGTGCAGAAGATGAAGGTGTATACACCTGCACATTGTTGTTCTTGATCAGTTAAATATATGTATGTGTATAGTGTCTGTATGTATAGAGATATGTATATAAATACATAACCATATATATATATACACACAAACACTACACACCTACTCAGTTTCTCTGTAAATGCGGGGGGAAAGCACTAATGACTGTATTGATCATACACATGGCTTTTCAATGACATTTTGGACTTTGTCCAAATTGCTGCAAGTCAGATGAGCTGCTACCATGGCTTGAACTGATGGGTAACTAAGGGAGGGAACAAAACTCCCCTAGTAATAACTAATGTTTAGTATACTATGTAATAAGATAAGGAGCATACTGAAAGGAAGGGGAAATCCCCAACCCATACCGCTGTTCAGATGCATCTTATTCAAGCCCGGGTTCATGAAGCTTTCTTCCTTTTTTATATCTGAGGTCTTCTCTAATCCTCCATTAGTAGTTTTTTTTTTTCTTTTCTCTCTCTCTTTTCTCTCTCTCTTTTGTTTTTGCTTTTATTTCTGATGATTGTTTCATTCAAAAAAGGTTATACCATGTCCGGTCTTTCCTCTTCTTGGGCTTTTGATACATTTTCTTCCCAATGAGAAGGGTTTTGCACACACACGCGTCTACGAACAGCCACACTCCTCCACAATCATATTCTGTATGTCTTTCTTAATGATGTTCTGGCCATCGTCATAGTAGAGCATGGACATAGGCCGCAGCTTGGTGGGCACACAACATGACTTGAGGTTGGCAAAGGGGCTATGGCCCCGCATGCGGTAATGGTTGATGACAGTGGAGTGGAAAGATAATGATGAACCAGATGTGCCTGCTATATGGCTGGGGCACTCTCCTTCGCAGTAGTTGGCATGATAACCTGTAGGAGCAATGATCCAGTCACTCCACCCTATGTCCTTGAAGCTGACAAAGAACTGCTTCTTGCAGCAGATGTTGACTTTGCCATCGCACTCCAGGCCTCGTCTTCGCCGCCTGTGCTGGCGGTCCTCTGAGTGCCGAGCAAGCATCATCAGGAAAGGCCGATGTGATTGCTCTTTCTCCTCTTCTCCTGTGAATTCTCCAGGTTCCTTTTCTTTCCCTTCCCCATCATCTTCCTTTTTCTTCTTCTTGCCCAGTAACACCAGGCTGGCTCCAGTCTCTTGGCACAGGTCACAGGCAATCCGCACATCCAAAGAGCTCTTGCCTTGGTCCAGGAGTCTCTGGACACTGCTGGAGACAGGAAAGATGTGCCAAGTGCTCTTACGGGTGTCCACTGCCTTTTCCGAAATCAAAGTCTCACTCCTTTCACCTTTCAACCTCCCATCCTCCATATCTTCTGCTCCTTCAGAGTTGCCTTTTGCCTGCCACTGCTGTTGAAAGAGGCGGATGGTGACTTTTGTCCTGCTCCGGTTGGCTTTGGAGACCTTCAGGAAGAGCCACACTTCAGCGTGTTCAACCACTGATAATTCACTGCCTTCCTTTGAAATCTCAAAGTGCAACATTTTCTTGGCTGTGCCTGATTTGGTAAATGGAAATAGACAGGAAGAACTTGTTAGTATGTCTGCTTACATTCTATTAAAGAGACTTCTGTTAACTTTTGCCACAGGCATGAAATTCCCTAGGTTTCTACTTTCTAAATTTTTATGATTCTTCTGTTCTAACCTTTCTTCACCTCACCCCCTCCTCAGTTTGTATTTTATGAAAATTCTCTGTTTCGAAAAGTGTATATTTGCTTGTTGTTTTCCAGCATAATATTTTAACCAGAGTGTTTTGTTATAGCAACAATGTAGTCATTGTTGTAAAGCATCTTATGACAAATAAGCATGAGTGGCTGCTAAGAGTTCATTTGCCTAATCTGTCTTTGTGATCACTGTTAACTGAAAGGCAAAAATGCTTTATGATGGCAGTCCATATGTATCATACGCTTAAAAATCTGCACCTAATAGCTGGTTAGGGAATGATGTCCAGTCCTGCCAATTCTTTAGCAATACTTTGGAAATTATGTGGGAAACAGGTTTGCCCTTTCTCTCTCCATAAAAAGCCATTCTTCATATGCGTCTTAAAATTAGTTGTAAATGTCAATTGCTTCAAAAACAAACAGATGCTAAAATATGAGCCTCAGCTTTAAGAGTTTTGCAGAGTTATATTGTAAAGAATTGCAGAACTGCAGCAGGCAGATTCTTCATCCCGTGAGATGTTAGCTGTAGATACTGTTCTTAATTTAACATACTGTACTTGCAGTGATTATAGTAATGGTGAATACATTGAGAAATGAGCTAAAGAACTGTATAATTATGGGGATGGTTCTCTGGCATAATTGTATCAACTTGCTGAGATGTCATGATGATGATTGTGATGGTGAGGAGGTGTTTCTCTGATACAGAGCTCATATCCCTGGCAGAAGTTGGAATGAATAATGAGGGCTGTTTAATGATTTGATCACTAGAGCATGAAAAAGTTAAAAGAGAATGAATTAGCTGGGGGATGGTCGTGATATTATTTTCTTAAGAGAGGTACTTTTCTATTTTCTTGACAAAGAAAAAAGCCCTGATGACATCTATTGTTCTTTCTTAGCATAGAGGCCAGGATGGACTGGGGTCACAGATTTTCAATGTGGAGATACCTGATTTTAGTGAGACAGAAACAGTATTCATAATTATCAATTTGTCATTGATATTATTCTTGAGCTACCCAGAGTTGTTAACCCGATTTTCTGTGCAATAGTTCTACTTGCCAGTGACCTGGAACTTTGCGCCCTAAAAACAGCAGATGATGATCAAAACTGAAGTAATTGGACACATACAGGAAAAATTGCCCTCACAGTATCAAGGTTCTTCTCCTTGCTTTCCATTGCCACTGAACTTCACTAGTAGGGGCTTCCTGACTATCTCCCTGCTCACCCATTCTCAGGTGAGACAGAAGTGGGGCAAAATCACAAGAGACATTTACCCTGTGTATGCTTGCTAATTCAAGAGTTGCTGATTTCTGAAGTTTGTAGGCAGGCTGTGCTGACCTTTGAGCTACCTGTTCCTTTTCTTCTCTGTGAAGTACTGGCACTGACACATTCAGATTTCCCTCGTGGCATTCCCAGGTCAAAGAGACAGATGTTTCTGAATTACAGTGTCCAAAGAGCACAGCGTTTTGTTTTTGTTTTCCATCTAAGTGAGAGTGTGAAATTGTAGACTTTAACTGTCACTGAGATAGGGAAACACATGGTTCGTGTTAACTGCTTCTCACAGACAGCTGATGCCAGTCTCTGAAGTGAGTTACATTAATTTCTCAGGGAGCTACACGAACCAGTGGGACTGTGACTTAAAAAAGGAAGTAGCTAATAGAAAAGAAAGAGCAAGCTGACTGGTACTGTGCAACATGATGGATTTACTGTTTTTCTATTATTTTTTAATTAAGATTCATTCAATAATGACTGAAAGTTTGCTAATCAGTTCTTACCAGCTAACATAATTTTTTTTCCATTTTGGAAATGAAAATATGGCAAAGTTGCCAGCTGTGTTGGAGCAGAGGTCAGGTGATAGACACTAATCCCACTCCTGACTTAGTTTGAGCATGAGGAGGTGTACAATGACATTCCTCCAGTCCAAATAAAGTCTGGTTGAAAAGGCTGGTTGCCTTGTACACATGGATGTTATAAGGAGTGTTCTTTATGAGAATGGATACTTCTAAGGCTTGTGAGGACCAGCCGGCCTGTGGCTTCATTCCCCCCAACTCTCTCTTCTATAGCAAGCTTCTGACTTTAGTTTATCCCTTTCCTTAGCACAGTCCTGATAAACCCTTTCTGAGGGGAGTCTGGACCTTAAGGGAACCTGAAGGCAGGTGATGTGCCAGGAGTCATTCCTGCCCATCCAACCTATTCTGCTTGCTGCCTCTATCCAAGGAAACTTTGGTTGAAAAAAGGGCGGTTTTGACAAGGCTGCAGAAGGTGTTCTGGCACCCAAATGCTCTCTTTCCCCAGAACTCACAGACTGGTGTGTGGAATAAGGATGTATTGCTGGGAATTGCAAAATTTTTCTGTATTCCTGAGAAACCAAGCTGGGCACAGACAGCAGTTCCAATACTAGCAGGGATCTTGTAAATGGGCAGATCAGCTGTGCTGGATATGGACACAAAAAACACACACTCTGGAGAAAGCAGGCAGGGTGTGCAGACCTGACTTGCTCAACAGGGTAAGAAGCTGTATGATCCATCTAATCTGAAAAGCCAGGCAGCCCTGTGTTACAGAACAGCATAATGCTGTTAAGTGCTAATGCATGGTATTTTACATTCTGCTGTTTCCATGCTAGTGGTAGTTGAAAATAGTTACGAATTGACATATCTGCAACAGCAAATATTCATATGACTTTATACACTGGCCAGAAGCATAGTGATGCAAACATTCTTTTTGACAAATATTTCATGAAAGAAACAGGATCTCAAGAACCCTTTTAATTAGTTTTTCAAATGCTCATCTATGTGTTAAAGTTGAATTCTTCCTTATTACAAAAAATATTTGAACAGTTCAGTGAAAATACATGAGTATTGCCTTTTCTTTACTTGAGAGTAGTGAGCTTGAGCAAGGTAGCCTAAAACATGACCTTATACAGGGAGAACAGCCTCCCTGTATGTTGTTAGCTACAATATCAGCCTCTCTGATATTGGTTATCTACATTTTCACAAAAAATTGTGAATTAAGATTCTAAAGAAAAAAGATACAGGGAGCTTATCTGAGCCTAATATTTCTGAATGAAAGAAAATCCTGAGTCCTCAAACCTGCATAGCTAATAAAAGGTTTTATAGTGGTTAAAAACCACTTTCCCTTTCACAGGTCTTTTTAGAAGAAGACTGAGAATGGTGCAAAGTTGGGGATAAAAAGCATGCTTTCACATTAGGAAAAAACAAAGCTTTTCTGAATTCTCTTCACATTCACAACTAGTTTGTTACGATCACACAGCACAAATGGTATGAATCCTGCAGTCTTTAAGAGGTCACTATGCTCAGACAAGTTAATTTTGAAATCAGAGTTTGGCCTGTGCTAAAACTGAATTGAGACCTCTGGATTTGGATTATTATAGTCACACATTCACTTTGTAACAGGAGCTTTATTTCCAAAAGGTTCAGTGCTACAATAAAACAAATTCTTCACGTGTTCTGAGACCAAAAAAAAAAACAAAAACAAAAAACAAAACAAAACAAAAAAAAAAAAAAAAAAAAACAAAACAAAACAAACAACAAAAAAACCACTGTATTTCAGTTTCTCCAGATATTGCTTACGGATTTAGCAGTCTTTCATTTTGGGTCTCAGTTAACAGACAGGATCAAAGCTTTGGAAACACATACTGTTCATCTAACTGAAGGCAAAAGGGAGACTCCTTAAAGTTACGGGTTGTATCACTTCCATAATTACATTTTGTTTATCCTCTTGTCCTGCCTTTATATATACCACAGCTGATTTGCAAGGGTCTTTTTCCATTTCTAATCATCCTGCTCCTCCTGTCTGACTACTGTGGAAAGACCCACAGCCCAACACTGGTAATACCTTCATCACTTCCACGTTCATATAAACAGCGATGTCAACAGCCTGGATTGTTATCATAGCAGAAAGCAGCACAAAAAGGAGACAAGGGATTACTCTGAGCCCCCTTCGATTTCCTCATCTCCCTTTCCTAAACCTTTGGAGAGGCCACCTCTCTGCTTTATTGCTGAACAAAGTCCCTTCCAGGATAAGAGCTGTGATGCCAAAGGAGCAGTCTAGCAGCACAAGTGACACCAGCAAATGCTGTGAGAAATGGTTAAAAATACAAGACCTAAGTAGTAGTGCATATATGGTAAAAGGTTTAATGGAAGGAGTTACTGAATGGAAAGAAAGCGTAGCATCAGTATATATAGCATGGGAGTTTGCTCATATCTGTTTTTCTCTTCACCAGTGCTCGCACACCTTTTTAGGAGAGAAACCTGAACATGCAAGCAGAGGAGAGCCTGCACAGGTACCCTCTTCTCCACCTCTGGAAGGGCTGTTCAGGGCTTACGCACAGGACTCGGCATGCAGTACCTGCTCCCAAGCAGCCCTTGGTGATGGGCACAGCACAGGAACCCATGAAAAGACTGACAAAACCCTTGAGGGCCTAGGCACAGGGGGACTGGAGGGGCAGTCCTGCATGGGCTCATGCTGGGCTCACAGGAGTAATCTGCAGCTCCAGTGTACTCTTCCTCTGAGGCTAAGGATCCTTCCTTCAGAATGGCTGGCTTTGACTATGTAGTCAAAGTTCCTTTATTTGCAATTTGCAGCAGGATTCAAGCCCTGTTAATTCAAGCTATATACTTATATGTATACTAGGTAGAGTCTAAACTATACAAATGAAAGGATCTTCTGTTAAGTGAAATGCTAAGATACTTGATGAAATTTTAACCATATGCTGTTAAATAATTAAGGCTGGGTTTTTTTCATAATGAAAGTGATTATCCTTTCTGACATTATAATGTGACTTATTCCTAATTTTTTTTAATACACAGCATTTAAATTTT